GCCCACAGAGGGCTCAGGGAAGAACCCTATCCCGCATCCCAATGGAGAGGAATGTCAGGAAGGGAAATGGTTCCTAGCGATGACAAGGAGATTCATCACACCAGCTGGAGACCAGGAAGTTTACACATATCGTCTCAGTTAATTTTCCCAGCAATATCATGAGGGAGCATCTATCAACATGCCCAATTTTCAGATGAGGAGAGTGAGGCTCATAGACTTGTTCTTGGTCACACAGTCAGGAACAGGCGGAAGAGGGACTGGGCCCCAGGGCTGTAGAGAATGCTTCCAGAGCATCTTCAGGTAACCGCTGCCCCATACTGCCCTTTGTGAGGGGATGGGAAGTTCAGAGAGTGGCCATGGGTAGCTGAGAAGCCCAGACAAAGTGGCTTCCCCAGGGTGTCAGGGCCATAGTGCTAAGAATTAAATCACATGCGAACAGAGAGGAAATGGTAGTGGGAGGTGTAGACCACACATCGGAGAAGTTTGGTCATGAATAAAAGGAGAAATAGGAGGACAGCATGTTGGGGAGTCAAGGAGGGTTTTACAGAAGCAGAGACCCTAGATCATGTCATCAGCAGAGGGGAGGAGACCATGGAAAGGGAGAACACAAAGAGCCAGGAGGTGGGAGTGTGACTGAGGGAAGGAGCCCTTCCTGGGATGAAGAAGGAATGAGAGCAAAGCCACGGTCAAAGAAATTTAGGTTTGACAGAAGGCAGGAAATGGCCACAACCCATAAGGAAGTTGGAAACTAGATGGGAAAAGAGTCAATGAGTGCCTTGGTTGGATTCTTCTGCCTCATTTATGACAGGAGAATTCAGGTGTGTCTCATGAAATGGTGGGACGCACTGGACCAAAAATAATTTGTTCTGGAGTGAAAGAGACCCTGGGATAGAATGTAAGCTGTACCCAAACTGTAGTTCAGAAATTTGTAAGTGTCCATCCATCAACCTATTCATTCATCCATCCTTCTACCCATCCATCTGTCCATCCATCCATCATCCATCCATCCATCCATCTACCCATCCTTCATCCATCATCCATTCATTCATTCACCCATCCATCCAGCCATCCACCTCTTACCTAGTCAATAAACATATTTTATTGAGCACCTACTGGATGCTAAGTCCTAGAGCTACAAGTAGGAACACAGAAGAGATCCTGTTTTCAAGGAGTTCACAGTCTTCCATGTAAGACCCAGCAAACAAACCAGTGATCACAGTGTAATGTGATGAGAACATGAGAGGGAAGCCAGTGACCTGTGAGGACACAGAGGAAGGTGGGGGCTGAAGGAAGGAAGTGAGGGTTTAAGCTGTGATCTGAGGAGGGTAGGAGTGGAAGTGCGGTGTGGGGGAGCAGGAGAGAGAGTTCCAGACAGGGGGAAGAGCTATACAACGAGCCTGGCATTTTCAAGGAACTGAAAGAAGGTCCATGTGGCTAGAATAAAGTTAATGGGGTAGATGGTGGGGCTGGAGGCAGAAGTTGAGGCTGGAGCTGTCAATGAGAATCTGGACTTCATCCTGAGGGCAATGGGGAGATATGGAAGGATTTCTGAGAGGGGAGAGCCTTGCTCAGATTTGTGTTTTGGAAAGATCTCGGGGCTTTAGAGAGGAGGGTGGATTGGAGTGGCAAGCCTGGGAGCTGGGAGATGAGCTTGGGGCTGGAGTCCAGCAGGGAGATGGAGATGGGGGGCCATGTGGATGGTGACAAGGGAATTGGTTCAGGACACATCCAGGTGGCCTGCCGAACAGGCCTTGCCCATTGACCATGGAGGGGCCAAGGAGACTGATGACCTGTCAGGGAAGGTTGACTCATCAGTGAGCACATCAGGCCCTTGGGACAGGGGAGTGGGACGTATTTTGGGATTGGGGAATGAGGATAACATTTGGGACCTTCACATCTCAGCCACCATGGGAAAGACAAAACGAATCTAGCTTCAGCTGTCAGAGGACAGAGCTCAATGGACAAAATGCTAGATCCTTACTGGGAGGCTCCAGGCAAGTCATTCTTCCTCCTGGATCCTCAGCTGACATGGGCTGCCACCTCAGTGACAATTGTCATGTGCAATTGGAAGATGACAGAGAGCCTCCATCCTAGCAACCTGGCCCCTGCTCAATGGTTTGGGGCTAAGTTCTTGGGGGTTGTGACAACAGCATCCCCGGTTCTGCCCCCGCCCACGGCAGAGCCAGAGGTGGGGCAGAAGAACTCCCTCCCTCCCTTTCAGGGTGAGGTACCCAGAATCTGGCTGGTGCAGCCCCTTCAAGCTAAGGTGGGGGAACTTTGATCCTCTCTAGTCCTTAAGGGACTCCCCGTGGCCTCGGTCTCAGGCCCTGGGGCAGCAAGCGTGGCAGGTGCCAAGGCGGTGTGTCTGGCCAGCTTGAGTCAGAGGTGTTGAGACAGGCAGTCACTCTGGCCTCTCCTTTCCACTCAAGTCCAATTCCCCTTTAAGTCTGTTGTCCTACTCGGCCTGCATCTGGCCTGCTTTCCCCACCTGTGACCTTGCCCTTCCTCTGGCGCCCTCTCCCCAGCCAGCCTCCGTAGAACTCTGCCTCACCACTGCCTCCTCCAGGGAGCATTCCTGATTCCCCTGCCCGACCTCCTAGCCCTAGAGTCTGCCCAGCACCATAAAGGTCTCTTGAGGCCCTTAGCATGGTCCCAGACTCCAGGACATCCCATCTGGAAGGTCCCCGGGAACCCATTTCATAGCTGGGAGAGCCGAGGACGAATAAGCCAGTTAACCCCTGGCAAGGAAACCACCTCAAAAATGTCCCTGGTCTGTGTTGTCTCCAAAGTGAGGTACTCTCTGAGGCTTCTCCCCAGGCTCTGGGTCCGGCTCACCTCCTTGTCCTTGTTCTTCGTTCGTCCCCTTTGTCTCGGTCAAGAGGGGGCTGTGTGTAGGTGCTGAGATACACACGGTGGCAGATGTGCCCCCGTCGTCACAGAGTTTACGGTCTGCATGTCACATTGGGACCGTGTCCCCCTCTCCCCCCAGAGCTCTGGGCTGCTTCTCTCACTTATCTCTGCACATTCCCTCCTTTGCGCCCGTGCTAAGCGCTTCCCTCCTGTGAAATGCCCGCCCCTCCTTCTCCTGGTGTGAATCCTCCCAGCCACAAGGCCCGGTTCGCTGACCACCGCCTCCAGGAAGCCCTCCAAGGTCTCTCAGCAAGAAGCAACCTCTCCCTGCTCTGGGCCCACAGCCCTTTATGTCGCATGCACATTCCTATGTTGGGCCGGGCCTTGTTCCCCTCCTGCCACAGCCCCGGGCAGAGTACCTGACACACAGCGGGTGTCCACTGACATGTTTGCTGCTCTGTGCCCTTCCTTGCCAGGCATCCTGGACCAGGCCAGAGCTAGTCCAGAACCTTCTGCTCCTGCTGTCACAACCAATTCCCTAGAAGGGATAGGGGAATTTGGGTCCTTCTGGAGAAAAGTTCTGAGTCTGTGGCAGAAGAAGGGGGAGACTCAAGCCCCACTCAGGGAGTTTCCCCAGCGGTGGGGGCTGGGCAGCCTCGCTGGTAATAAAGTTGCTAATCATCATTCTCACAGACCCCTCTTGTCTAACACAGGAGAGCAATCCATGGCCCCTGTGGCAGGTGGAGAAGCCACTGGGCAGAGAGCCTGAAGGACGGAGAGGGTCAGGAGACACTCCACCCATGAGGGGCAGCATCGGCAGAGAAATCCTCTGCCCCTCCTGGGACCCAGGCCCTCCCCAAGCACCTCAGGGTGTTTGCATCTCCTCTGAGCCCAGGTCTTCTCCAGGCCAGAGTGGTCCTCTCCCAGGCAGGCTCATGAGGGCACGAGCACCCCTTCCCCAGCCCAGGCTGGCCTCCTCTGACTCCTCAGGTTGGGGCCTGCTCAGTGCTCCTCTGTTTGGGGTGGAGGTTGTCCTTTGTGCAGGAAGCTGAGTGCCCAAGATGAGCACAGGCAGGAAGACCCCACTCCCCGCCCATCCCCTCTGCTGCACATGCAAATTGCAGCCTGTCCCAGAGACAGGAAGACTGGCCCAGCCAGACAGGCTGGGGGCAAAAAACCCCCCTGGCTATGGCTTGAGGAGTGGGGGACATGACCCTAAGAGAAGCAAGGAAATGCTGGTGTGAGAGCCACTGAGAGGACCAAGCTATGTCAGATCTGCCGTTTTGGCGGGGCGCCCGGGGACATTCCAAACATCCCTCTACCAGTGATGACGTGAGGCCCAGAGAGGGTCTCTGCGTTGCCCAAAGGCACACAGCAAGACGGTGACAGATGATGCTGCCCAGGGGACGTCCTGCCGTGGACAGGGCACTCCCCTGACCAGGATGAGAAGCGGGCCCAGCCTGCCAAGGTGGCCCTGGAGTAGGGGCGGGGGGGTGGAGGAGGAGCCCTGTGAGGACTGGCGGGGTGACAGTCTGAGCACCACCCCTCCCCCCATCGGGGTGGCTTTCCACAGACAGCACCTTGCTGTGGTCACCATCCCTGCTGATGAAGATGTAACAATGGCCCCAGGTTGACACAGAGCCGGCTGTGGTGAGAGGAACATGTGCATCCCATGGTGCAGGCCCGGGTGTCATCTGAACGGCTCCTGCTGTCATCGGGCTGTCATCAGGACTCCTACCACCCGGCCCAGGGGAGCCCGAAGCAGACTACTGGCCATTTTCTCTGGTGGCCAGGGGAGGGGCCCGAGGCAGGGATGCTGTGGCCCATGGTGCGTGGAAAGTCTGCTCGCGGCTCACGTTGGACCCTGACCACGTGTCCACTGCAGACTGGGCCCTCGCAGATCCCTGCAACCCGGGGTGAGGGGCCCCATGTTGGGTAGCTGGGCTTCCCAATCTATAGAAGGGCCAATTTGGACTAAATGGTGATTAAAACCTGTCAGACTCTGGTCTCCTGCGGTTCAGGGCCCAGCTTGGGGAAGCACCCACAACCAAAGTCATCTGGGCCCTGGGCCTTTCTCAGAATGAGTGGAGCTGGGGTACCCCCTGAAAGATGCCCTGTGCCTGTGCAGCCTGCTGACCCCCCACCCCCACCCAGGAGGCCTGCCCGGAGCCCGGGATCTCCTCCAGGCCCAGGCTAGGCAGCTCCTCTTGGCTCCTATCTTGCTGTCCCCTTCGTCCTCCACACATACAGGACACCATGCATGAAGGAGGCTCACCAGCCTCAGGGCAGAGGCCAACCCAGTTTATGGTAGAGGCTTTTCAGTTCTGCTTAATAGAGGAACCAAGAAATGTTCCTGTGAAAGGAGAAGTATGTCACTGTCGTGGCCCCCGGACACACATACCCCACCTCTGTCCCCAACGGAGTGTCCATTCTCTGGAAAGCCACAAACATTCCCAGATTGGACTTGTGCTGAATCATCTCAAAATCTTCAGATTCCACTGGTGTAGGGAAGAATGTATGGGGGAGGTGACAGGAGGTGGGGCAAGATCCCCAAAGAGGTTAAATAGGTCACCTCCATACTTGGCTGCCATCCTCACCTCCCCCCGAGCAGAAGGACCTACACTCACAGGTCCTCTCCTGGGCTCCTGTCACTATGACCCCCCTGAAGATGCTGCTCCTCGTCGCACTCCTCCTGGGGGCTTCTCTGCAGGTCACGCATGCAGGTGAGAGCCGAGGAGAGGTGGCCTGGGTCAGGAGGGGTGGGCGCACCAAGTTCAAGCTGCAATGCCCACTATTTATGCATTAGTGACAGCCCAGCTATTCCTCCAGGGACGAGGAGGCTGGCAGCAGTAGGATTTTGAGGGAGGCATTCAAAGGAAAAGGATGAGGCATGGGGAGGAGGATGCCACCCCAGAGCTTGGGGTTCAGCTCAGTGAGGAGCAAAGTGCTGGCCCGTCTCTCTCTGCAGTGACTGAGAGGCAATGACCTGGGTTGGGTTTTGACAGTGGAACATGACCTATTCTCGGAAGCATTGGTTAGCGTCTGTTTTATTCCCGGGTCTTTCTCGACACCGAGGACATCAGCATGAAGGCAGGAGCGCTGGTTCCCGGAGCGCGTGAAGGGAGAGATGTCTATCCGCAGGTGGAAGAGAAAGGCCGAAATAAGACAGCCAATGTGGGAACATGGCCACAGCGCCACAGCCTTCACTCATGGCTCTCACTTCTGTAAAACGCAGCTCAGGGTAGCTCTGTGAGTTAGTCCAACCCAGTTATACCCCCGCGATGGCCGGAGGACAGTTGGGGGCTTCTTAGAAAGCACTCGAGCCGTGGCATTAATTAAAGCCACGCATCACCGGTTTGCCGATTTGCAAGTGTTGGATACTTTTTCTTGTGCAAAGAGAAGGAAGCTGAGGCCCAGGAAAGTGTTTTCACACCTTGGGCTTCCATGTAATCATCTGTAAAATGGGGTCGTGGTAGTACCTGTCTCTGGGTGCACCGTGAGGGCTGAAGGATCTCCTGCAGGCAGAGGCTCAGCCCAGAGCCTGGCCCAGAGGAAATTCTTGGGTGGTTCCGGGCTGGTATTTGAGTGTGTGCACTCAGGGCCCCCCAGAGCACACAGAGAGACCTCACACACACGAATGTGTCCACATACACACACACACACACACACACGACGCTCACGGACACACCCGCTCCTGCCTCCTTTCTCCGTAGCACGAGGGACCAATGTGGGCCGCGAGTGCTGCCTAGAGTACTTCAAAGGAGCCATTCCTCTCAAAAGGCTGAAAATGTGGTACAAGACCTCAAGGGAGTGTCCCAAGAAAGCCATCGTGTAAGTGTGCCCGGCCCCCTCCCCCTTCCCCCCAGCCGTGCCCCTAGGAGCTGAGTCTGGGAGAAGGCGGCCCCTAGACCTCCCAGAAGGGCCACTGACTGGGGAGAGGAGAGAGCGGGACCTTCGTGGCCCCCTTCCCACCCGACGCTGCTCCTCATGGCAGCTCCTGCACCCCACACTGGGAGTCCCAAAAGGCCCCAGGCCATGAGGTTCAACCTCTTCACCGATTTATGGGGAAACTGAGGCCCCGAGAGACAGGGCAGCCCCATGTCACACCGGCACTCAGAGTGACCGGTGTGGTCACTTCCCACAGCTTGGACCTGAGCTGGGCGCCTCCTGGGCACCCCTAGTTCCTAGGCTTTCGGTGGAAGTGAGCGAGCTGAAGTGGTGGGCAGAACGTCCCGCAGTCCTGGCTCCCCGGGAGGGACTGGCAGGGACCTTGGGAGTCAAGATCACTGCTGACAAGCCTGATGTCCCAGATCTGTCACCGAGGTGCTGTGTGACTTTAGGTGCTCCTCTTGGGGCCTCAGGGGCCTGGTCAGTGCAGAGCAAGGCTGATCCCAGGGCTCCGGAAGGCCTTCTTGCCCTGACACCCGCTGACGGGTTCCTCCCTCTCATGTAGGCTTGTAACTGTCCACGACAAGTCCATCTGTTCGGATCCCAAGAACAGGAGGGTGAAGAAGGCAGTCAGATATTTAAAAAGCATGCGGAACCCTGGGCTCCAGGAATCCTGATTTCTGCCTGGACCATTTGGAGACCTCCAGCCTCAGTGTTCACTACCCCAACCCCGAGCTGCCTGAGTCCAGGGGAGGCCCTACAAGGACAAAGGGGACCCCTGCCCCCTTTTCTGGACTGGAACCATAGCAGAAAGAGCCCAGATTAAAGTCTCTCCTTCATGGACACCTGGGTGGCTCAGTCGGTTAGGCGTCTGCCTTTGGTTCAGGTCATGGTCCTGGGGTCCTGGGATGGAGCCCCACATCGGGCTCCCTGCTCAGTGGGGAGCCTGCTTCTCCCTCTCACTCTGCCTCTGCCTCTTCCCTCTGCTCGTGCTCGCTCAAATAAATAAATAAATAAATAAAATCTTAAAAAAAAAAAAAAGTCTCTCTCTTCCTACCTTAGTCTGGGTCAGTGTGTTCTGGCCACCCAGCCTGTCACACTGGAAGAACATCTGGTCCTGCCCTGTCCAGGCCGGAAAGGGAAACTGAGGCCGAGAGGGGGACATGGCCACTGCAGACCACACATGAGGGGTGAGAGACAGTCCTGGTGAGAGAGGCCCAGGCTGGGGAGCTGGGGGTGTCCGTGGGATGAGCCCAGCCTCCAGGAGGCCTTCCCCAAAAGCTGCCCCTCGGGTTCTCTCTCCTGCTCTGATTCCTCCTGTTCTTAGGGACCGGAGGGCAGCCCACTGTGATGGGGTTGTTCTCCCAGATGACCGCTGTGCGGGTCTGTCAGTCCTGGCTCCTCCGTTAGAGGGGAGCTCCATGAACCACCCTGAGCACCCCACAGCCTAAGTGCTAAAAAGGATGGGGGATGGGGAGGTTATGGACTCCCTACCCCCAGACCCCTCTGAGCAAGCCCAAGTCAGGGCCTGAGCCATAGTGTGCTAGGTGTGGGGGAAACAGGGTTTTTGGATTCTAGTTCTGTCTCACTCTCCTGATCAGCAATGGCTTCTCTCTCTGGGATGCACTCTGGGCGGCAGGGGCAGGGGGTCCTTCTCTTCCTAGGATTCTGTGATCCGCACTGAGAGGACTGCCAATTACGCGTTATTTTCAGCAAAGTTTTGCCTCCTGTTGCCCCCTTGTGGTCAGTCGTCTTATTGCAGGCCAGATGACGGACCCAAGCCCTCTTTCTAGTAGGAGCAGGAATAAAACAGGACAAACAACAATCATAATGAGGCTGATGATGGTGAACTGGCTTCTTTGTGACCCCAGGGTCCCCTCGACCATAGGTGGGCTCTTCCCCGGCCCTGATCCCGAGGAGAATCCCTCCAACAACTGCCTTGGATCCGGAATCCTGGGGGCAGCTCCGTCTGAGTTCTTCTGGATCCACGGGTGGGGCTGGGTGGGGAGTGGAGGAAAGACGATCTCCAAACACAGGGAGGCAAGAAGGAGCTCCCGTGACAGCAAGGGAGAACAAGGGCTGGGGCCCGGATCCCTCACCTTTGCAGTCCTGAGCTTAAAGACACTCGAGAGGACACCAATTTCATCCATGTGCAAAGCATTTTAAAAGAAGCAAAACCTTTTTGTCTGAGTGAAATCATCCTCAGAGGCCCATCTGTAAGCTCAGAGGAGTTCAGCTTCGTGGAGAATTGTGAGGATATTTAACAGCATGATCAGGTTGTAAGGGGGTGGGGTGGGGGGACAAGATGCAGGGGATGGGAGCAGCCACTACGTCCCTCTGAAAAGGGGCCACCTGAAGGAATCGCGACTTGGGGACTCCCCTGACTGGCGAGAAAGAGGACTAGGCAGGGACCAGAGAACAGAGAACATTGTCCCTCCCACCTGGAAAGGGCGTCCCCTCCTTCGACTGAAATCCAGACCCCCTTCGGAGCTCAGCTTAGCTGCACTGACCCTCCGCCAGCTCCCCCCTCCGGCTTCAGCCTCACCTCTACCACACTCTGCCCCCTTTACTATACTTCCTGCACCTTTGTCTCACTGGTGAGCTCATGGGGGGCTGGTATTTGGGTCAGGCGACTCAGTACCTGACTCATTTATGGGGGGGGGTGCTTTGTGCATAGTGGACATGTGATTTACACATCTACATCAACCAGCCTCCGGCTGAACCCCACGAGGGGCACGAACAGAGAAAGAGAAATCCCGGAGAAGCCGATGCCGTGAAAATCGGGCTTCAAGCTTGGTCTTTAAGTGGAATTTAGAACTGAGTTGCTCTGCGCTTGGCCACCAGAGGGCGCGTCGGCCCCCCAACCCGATAAAGATCGAGCGGGAGGTGCCTGACCGCCTAGGCGCCCCGCCTCCTCCGTGCCGTCCCCGGGGGCCGGGTTACCCACTTCCGATGGTGGCTGCGCGGGTCCCCGGATCTGGGCGTCTGCAGCAGGTCAGCCCTTCTCCCGGGGGAGCAGAGGCCCGGAAACCACCAACACTCTGCCTGGGGTTAGCGGGATGAAGAGGAAGAAGCAAAAACGCTGTTGGGACGAACAGGGCGGCCCATTCCAGCCGCGACGTGGCTAGTGCCCGGAGCAGCGCGCCAGGGCTCTTCTCGCTGTGTTTTCTTAGATTCCGTATTGGCCCGTTTGGCCTCCAGTCATGACGGTGCTGAAGCCATGGCCGAAGCTAGTTACACCTCCCCTGCGTTCCAGCTTTGGAAGGCACGCGAAAATCACACGGCAGACTCTCCAACCAACCTGGAGCTCATTCCCCTAAACGCCCCCTTTCTGTAACTCACACCGCAGACCACTGTGTCCCCTGCCCCAGATCACCTGGGGCCAGGGACCAGACCACTAGGGCGGCCCCCTGCCCAAAGCCTGTCGGAATTATTCACTGAAGCCCACCCTCAGGAGTTTCCCCTGCCCGGCGGTGCTTTTCCCACGCGGACCCCAATAAAAGCTTGACCTCTCTGTTTTCTCCTCTGCCGGGAGTGGTGGCCCATGGCCCCTTCTCTTGGGAAGTGTCAGTAATCAGACTAGCACTGACCTCTCTCTGTCAACGCAGTCCCCTACATAAACTAAAACCCCACAGGTACATTTTCACACAGGGGTCAGGGACCTGCCCTGTATCTGCTCTGGTCCTGACTGGCTGTGGGGTCTTGACACAATCACTCCACCTTCCTGGGCCTGTTTCTCCCTAAAATGATGAAATCGGACCCTTCTCTAATGGGCTTGAGGATGTGCCCAGTCAAGAGAATGAGGGCTTATAGTCTGCTGCTTTTCTGCTCCCACATTGCCCGTAGGGGATCAGAGTCTGAGAAAACCTGCAGTTTCCTCCTCACTGAACTGGAATTTTATTGATTTGTAAAACCTACCTATTAATCAAGACTAATTACTTGTCTCTCATATATGTAACAAATATGTTTCCCTAGTTTACTAGGTTTTAGCCCTTGCCCATCCCTCCACCTTTAGATTGAAATGTTTACTAGTTCTATAATGAAATTTTTTGATCGTTAAAAAAAGGGGGGGCATGCTCAGTGCATATATGCCCATGTGCATAGCAGCACTGTCCTCCATAACCAAGAGATGGAAGCAGCCCAAATGTCCATCAGGGGATGCGTGGATACACAGCGGCGTGTACATACAATGGAATATTATTCAGCCACAGACAGGAGTGAGTACTGATAGGTGTTACAGGGGGATGAACTTTGAACACAGGCCAAGAGAAGCCACACACAGAAGGTCACATACTGCATGCATGAGTCCATTCATATGAAACGCCCAGAACAGGCAAGTGCCCAGAGACAGACTGCAGATGGGTGTTGCTGGGCGCAGGGGGGATGGGGGAGAAAGCCCAGATGTTGGACAGGTACAGGGCTGCCTTTGGGGGTGATGGAAATGTTTGGAACTAGACAGAAGTGATAATTGCACAACATTGCGGATGCACTGTCGTTCCCATTAAAATGGTTCATTTTATGTTATGTCAACTTGACTTCAAAAAAGGGAGGCAAGCTTCACATAAGCCCTTTTCTGCAGAGAGACGCTACAGCAGCATGGGTGTGCTGGGCATCACCTTCAGGAGAGAGAAGCCCTCCGGGGAGCGCAGAGGAGAGAAGGAATGAGGCAACACAGCTGTAACACTTCAGGTATTGAAGACTAGAGCTGATCGGAATGCAAAACACGAATCCAGCTGTGTTACAGTACATCTCTATTTGAAAACTGGCGAAACGTACAAGACAAAATGTTTAAGGGATGGTCAACGCAGAGAGAAGGGAGAAAGGGAGGGAGGGACTTAGCGCCTCGGAGCCCCGCTGAGCCTGAGCAGCTTCCGGGTTGTTGCCGGGCTTCCTCACAGGTGTAGACGCGGGCGGGGTGGCCCGTGATCGGCGCGCACCTGCCCCGCCCGGAAGCGAGGCCGCCAAGGGCTGCGTGCAGCCTCGCGTCCCTAGCCCGCCGTCCAGCCGGGGGAGTGAGAGCCGCGCTGTCCCCACCGCGCGCGCCCCGGGTCCCCGCCAGGTCTGTCACTGTGACGGGACAGCCGCGGAAGCAAGGACAGACTGAGGGAACCGAGAGGGTAACACAAGCACAAACCAGCAACTTTCCAAGACCACGGAAATCTTCATTGCAGTTACGGAGAGCGCCACCTTGTTTCGGAGGTAAGGGAACCTGAGCATTAAGAGCGCCTCCTGGAGATCGCGCCGCCCGCCGCCGGCACAGGTCCAGGGACCGCAGCTAAGAAAACGCTTATTTTTTTTAAAAAGAGATTGTATTTATTTGTTTGATTATTTATTTATTTAGAGCGCACGAGCACAAGCGGGGGGAGGGGCAGAGGGAGAGAGAGAATCTAGCGGACTCCCTGCTGAGCGCGGAGCGGGACCCGGGGCTCGGTCCCACGACCCCGAGATCATGACCTGAGCCGCAATCAAGCGTCCGACGCTCCACTGACTGAGCCACCCAGGCACCCCGGAAAACAGTTATTTTTAGAATGGAACGTTCTGTGCCACTTTTGCCTTCAACGTAGAGACCCAGGTACAGGGCTGCCTTTGGGGGTGATGGAAACGTTTGGAACTAGACAGAAGTGATAATTGCACAACATTGCAGATGCACTGTCGTTCCCATTAAAATGGCTCATTTTATGTTATGTCAATTTGACTTCAAAAAAGGGGGGCAAGCTTCACATAAGCCCTTGCTTGCTTTCTGGAAACTTCCTGGAATTGTCTCTTTCCATGATGATTCTGAGATACTCTGTTTCTTTTACCTTCTGTGATTAATTGTTGTCTCGCTGCTCCTTTTTCTCTCTTCATGTCCATCTCATTTTGGTTCGTTTTCTTATTCCTGTCCTCGCTGCCCCTGTTTTTAGCACTCTCTGTTCTTCCTAGTGCTCTCTCCCTCACGGCCACTTCCCCTCTGGGGTTTTATGTTTCTTCGCGTCTAGCCTCAGCTCTGCCATATGGGGTCTCTGCCACAGGAATCCCTCCCTCTGTATGCCTTAGGGATCATGCCCTTGAGCTCTTGTGTCTCTGCGCTCTACTTCATCCATGTGTGATCCACAGCAAGTTCTTTTGGCCAC